CAACAGGTAAAACTTTAAATATTTCATCAAAGTACTATACTGTCTCATTATATATATATTACACAGGAAATCATTTCACTATGCAATCTGCGCAATCAAGAACTTCAAAACCAATCATACCTCTTTCACATAAAGAAAAAGGCCGCCGCACCATCCCAAACAGAAACACATACTTACACACTTATGTCTGCTTCCAAAGAAAACAAAGGTACATTACATTATCATGAAAACAACTATGACTAATACATCATAGGGTGTAATCATATACCACTCATTTTATATAACAAATAAAATTCATGTACAGATAAGGAAATTGCTGCCGAAGAAACATTGTCAAAGAACCACCCTATTGTACCCAAACACACTGGGATAACACCTGAAATGCAGGAGAAGGCAACTTGCACAACTGCTACCTTAGAATCATATGTTCCTGGTAAGAACAACAATATATCATCCTAACAATATAAAATAATAAACATAAGTCCAATTTCATAGTTTCAACTATACTTATACAAAAAACATTATTTAGGTAAATATGCAAAGAACTTGCTTCCACTGTTCAATGAGTTGGAATCTATCAATGATCAGAAATCAAAGGATCAAGCATCAACGGTCAAGAATTCTGTCGCTCCACCGAAAGAATCCAAAAAATAATTGTCAAGCTTTTCTACAACATCTTTTGTTTTATACTACATCCAACTACTAAACTACCTACCTTTTTGTAATATTACTATCCGATGTGTACATACAACATTTTGAATATCTATCGGCTACATATATTTATCAAATTTCTTATTACTATAAATTCATAATTCGATTGTGTTGATGTATTTTTTCAACAAACAAAAAATAAAATTCAAAGATATGGAAATATCCTTAAATTTGATTAATTATATTAGGAATCTCTAAACACTGTAGGGTACATAAGTGTTAATGTATTTTTTCAACAAACAAAAGGTAAAATCCGAAAATAGGACCAAAAGACAAAAAAAAGACTCCTTCGCCGCCCCCACCAAGAGACCAAGCTACTGTTCACTTAGTAGGCACCCGACTTATCTTGTTCTGACTACGTACCAACCGACTTGCTTATCAGATCCCATCCCATCCGACCCACTTACCCGATTGCTAACTAACCGACCTGCCTGTCCAACATGCTTACCAACCGACTTTCAGACTTTCCGATATATAGACCATCCGACCCGCCAACCGACCGACCTCACTATACAACCGCAAACCGTCCGACCTACAAACTTTCCGACCTATGGACCATCCGACCCCCTAACCTACCGACCTGACTATCCGACCGCAGACCTTCCCACTTGCCGAACCTACCGAGGACCAACCGACTTGACTATCCCACAGCGGACCAACCGACCTGAACGCAAAATTTACTTCTTTTCCACCTGACTTCGTGTATAACTTCCTCTAAGATTCTGCTACCCTTATTTTTATTATTATTTTTTGTGCGTAACAGATTGCATTACAGAATAGTCGCGCGGTATACCGCGCAAAAGCGGGTTCTAGTATATATATATATATCACTAGTAGAACAAAAGTCAAATATTGCATTAAGTTAAGATATAAAAGAATTAAAAATAAAAATTACAAATCAAAGAGGTAGCGTTAGAGCCGTCCCTTCCTATAATTGTCTTTAATTTAATAACTGAACATAAAAATTGTCCACGCGCCACGACATGTGGGGTGACCCTTTTTTTAAAAAAACAAAAAGAAAAAATTAAAAATGTACTCTTATATTTATTTTAAAAAATAATGGTTTAAATTTGTATATAGAAAATAACTACCGAAATTGATATAAAAAATAATGCTCATAAAACATTTTTACAGTAAATTATATATAAAAAAATATGAATATCATATATATATATATATATATCACTCATTATTATCATTTCCTAATGTTTAGAATGATGTTGGTAATTATTATTATTATTATTATTGTTATCATTATTATTACATTTCAAGTTAATATTGGGAAAATAATACTCTCTCCGTCCACTTATAATGTTTACATTTACTTTTGGCGCGATGTTTAAGAAATAATAGTATTTTAGTGTAACGACATTTTTGTCTTTACCTTTTTTTTTTTTGTAAAAGTAACGATGTGATGTAAAGTAAGGGTATTTGTGGAAAAAAGTAGAGTATTTAATGAAATGTTAACTTTGTAATTGAACGTCCCAAAATAGAAATATGTAAACATTGTAAGTGGACAGATGAAGTATAATAGAAGTAACCAATATATAAATACAAAAATACCCTTAATTTTTTCAAAATTTATCGATTATTTTTTTAATTTACTGCAAAAACTAAAAGAGTACATTTAGCCAAAATGGAAGAAATATAGTATTTTATTGAGATTCATTTTTTAAAACAATCAAAATTTTACTCTCTCTGCCGCATCATTTGTCTATTTTTTATATTTCGGTTCGTCCTATATAATTTATCATTTTTTAAGAAAATAAAATTATACATTTTAATCACATTTTAAAATTTAAAATTTAAAATTATTCTTTAAATTAAGAATATTATTTACAAGAAATTTTAACTTAATTTAAACATATATGTTAACATCGAAAATCAAATATCAATTAAATACATTTTATCCAATTTAATTTCCAACCAATCTAATCTTCAAATACAATTCCAACCAACATCCAAACACGTTTTTAACGTTATTTTAGCAAGTAAAATAATTTAATTTCTTTCTTTTTTAAAAAATAAATAAATAAATAAATAATACTAAAATTAAATGCTTCCCTTAATCGATTAGGTTATTACAAGCAGGTTACTAATTGCTTCATACGTTCACAAAATAATAGGTAATTAATTAATTAATATCCTTAAATTGGCAACAAAACATGCCTGTAATTAAATAATTATTTAATTGGAAGCACGTACTAATTTGTTAATTTATATTTATATTTGTATTTTCATTTTATTGTTTATGCATAAATAAATGTGAGAAATTTTTAGAAATTAAAAAATTTATATTTGTATTTTTTAGTATATTAAAATATAATAATATTTTTTTGATAAGTTGATATTTTTATTTTTATAAGTAAAAAAAATGAAGAGAGATTTTTGTAAATATTAGAGGTATTTTAGTATTTATATATAAATTACTTTTACTTAATAAGAAAAGAAAAAATAAATTTAGTAACACAAACAAAAATAATATTTTTTTTGTATTTAGATAAATTATTAATTGCAAAATAACGTTTTATTGTACATACTAATATTTAAATATTCTAAATGTTATTTATTTGATCAAAATCCGCTCAATAGATCTTAACTATGTATTTGTTGTATATATTGTGACTAAATATTAATGATGTATTCTTTGTATCTTTTTCTCTATATATTACTATAATTTTTTTAAATTTATTTTAACAATATTATGTTTAGGGGCGAGTATTCGGATTTTCGGTTTGGATTTCGTCAAATCTGAACCGATCCGAAAATTCGAAATTTTTGAAAAAATCAACCCGAAACGAACCGAAATAACCGAAATTCGACATCCGAAAATCCGTAATCCGAACTAAAAGATCCGAACAAATAGAAAAATCGGAAATTCTAAATATTTTTATTATTATTTTTTTAATTTTAAAATTTCTTTTAAATATTATTATTATTTTATAATATTAAATATATATAATATAAAAATTAAATATATTAAAATATAATTAATAAATTGGAGTTTTTTATATTAAAATATAATATTTTCTAATAAAATATTAAATATGTATAATAAAAAAATATATTAAAATGTTATATTTCAGATTTCAGATTGGTTCGGATTTTAAGTATACCGATCCGATCCGATCCAAAAATCCGAAATTTGTTAAAAATTCAATCCGATCCAATCTGAAAATCCAAATCAAATTTTAAATTTCGATTTGGTTCGGATTGAATTTTCGGATTTCAAATATTTTGCTCACTCCTAATTATGCTGGATTGATATATATTTTCAAAGCTATACATTATTTGCTCTTATTTTTTATAATGTGAGAATTTGAAATTGTTACTAGATGAATATGATTTGAATTAAAAATCCTCTAATCGAATTTAATAATTTATAAATTAAGTCCAATAAGACAAGTCGCACAATCAATCATGTGTGATAAACAAAACTTCAAGGCCTCAAATATTTGAACCCATAACAAACAAAGCATATTATTTCATATAAAAAGCAAAGGAATAAATAATTTACATATAAATAAAACAATGATATTTTTGTAATTTGTATAAAAGTAAATATTTTAGTATTTACATATAAAATATAATACTCCTTCCGTCCGTCTCCGAGTCACATTTACATTCTGTATTATTGTATTTAACATTAAAAATATTTTTATATTTGTATAATTTTTTTGTACAAACATTATTTTATTAGTATTATAAGACACCAATAAAAGTATTTTTGTAATTTTTTATTAATTTAGACTACATTTTGATATAATAATTAATATTCAAAGATCAATACGCAAAAAGTAAATAAGACCTTTAAAGTCGAACGAAAATAATATTTATTAAATTAGGAAAAAAATAAAAAAAAACAAAAAATAGTAAAAATAATATTTTAAATTATAACTAGGATAATATTAAATATTTATTAAATATTATTATTTATTTTTTTTTATTATTTATTTATTTTTTTAATAATATGGAAATTCGGACTGTATCCTTTGTATTCGAACAACATTTTAGAGAGTGACTTATGTGATCTGACCTCGGAAACCCCTAAATAAATGTACAGTGAACAATGAATGGATTCTTCGGCATACTTTTTAGAAAGCGTTAACTCGAATAACTGCTACTTTTATTCAAAAAGCTCCCTGACTTCAACTCCCCAAATGAAAGTAGTATGATGATAAAGCTTTCAGGACTCCAACTCCCGGGTCTCGTCAAATTACACCTCTTCTTCTCCAAGCCTCAACTCTCTCTCTTTTTATATATATATATATATATATCTATTTTATCTATATAGATAGAAGAGAAGAGAGAGATTCTGATAAGCTCGGGAAGAAGTTTGAAAATCTTCAGCTCTACGATGCGCCGGCGGACGGAGTCGAGAGCTCTTCTGACGATCGTCGTCTTCCTGATTCTCTGCGGCCTGTCCTATGGTCGCTTCATTTCCGACCAATTCGATATAGTCTCCGATGGATTTTCCGCCTCCAGAGTGCCGGATTTCCTCCGCCTCCCCGCCGCCGAGGAGAACTGTGAGCAGTCGTACGGTTTTTTGCCGTGCACCTCCACCGCACTGGGGAACTTGTTCTTAATTGCGGTATACGGTTACCTAATGTACCTCGCCGCTACGTATCTCTCCACCGGAAGTGAGCTTCTCCTCGAGATTCTCGGCCCTGGAATTGTCGGCGGCCTCTTCCTCCCAATCCTCGGTGCACTTCCGGATGCTATGCTTATTCTAGGTATTCTCTCTCTCTCTCTCTATATATATATATGTATGTATGTATAGATTGATTTATGCATCAATGGATGTTTGGTATGAAATTGGGGATTTTCACTTTGCGTAGGGATCAATTTACCGATTTATGCTTTTGAATTTCAGTGTCCGGTCTTTCTGGAAGCGCAGAAACTGCTCAAAGCCAAGTGTCAGTTGGAATGGGGCTTCTAGCAGGTTCAACAGTTATGCTTCTGACTGCAATTTGGGGAACCTGTATAATCGTTGGCAAGTGTGATGTTGAAAATGGTGTCGCAATCGATTCGAGAGACACAAGAGCCTTTAGTCTAACTGGTTTGTCGTCTCCATTGTCTCTTCCAATTTCTACTCTTAAATTAGTCCTTTCAATGTTGACATTTCGCCCGACACAATCCTCACCGTCTAATCTGATATGTTCCTCCTCCGCCTGATCTACCAAATCTGCTACAGTTCGTCTCAAGGCACTGTAGGTTGAAATAGTTGCATCTCTTTCGATGTGTTGCCAAATTTGAATTCTGCAATCCACGAGAAATCACAGATCTGTTCGTAAACTTCGATAAACATTAACTTGAAAATGAAATCAGTAATTTCAATCACCGAATTTCTCTTTGATTTCTAACTAATGTTTAACATCTTTACCTAATTTCACTTGTCGCTGCAGGCTCCGGAATCACCACAGATGTGTACACAAGCTACGCAGGCGTTATTATGGCGATTTCAGTGATTCCATTCGTAATAGTTCAGTTGCCGCAGATATTGCATTCGAATTCGGGACGGCACTTGGCTGTCTTGATTAGCCTTGTTGTTTCCGTTTCACTTCTCATCTCTTACTGCCTTTACCAGGTACATTACACATCTTCCCAATTTGTTCCATCTTGTTCTTCCACCATCATCTAATTTCCATCCTTTCACAAACTTTCTGCGCAGGTGTTCCAGCCATGGATTCAGAGGAGGCGACTAGCGTACACGAAGCACAAGCACGTCATGTCCGGAATCCTCAAACATTTGAAAAAACACGCACTCGGTAGGCTTTCCAGGGAAGACGGCAGGCCTAATGAAGACGTCCTCAGAGAGTGAGTTTCATTTCATGATTCATCCTAATTCAGCTCCCTTCTGTTATTATCATCGATCATCTCTCTTACATGTACGCTGCAGCCTGTTCGAAGCCATTGACGAAAACAAGGATGGATACCTATCATACTCGGAGCTAAAAGCTCTGATCGTAGGAATTCACTTCAATGAGTTTGATATGGATCCAAATGACGCAGTTGCCAAAGTGCTCAAGGATTTCGACACATCTCAGGACATGGGAATCGATATCGATGAGTTCATTTCCGGAATTGGGGGATGGCTGACTGAGGCCAGGGGTGCTACCACAGTTTCAAATCATGCTGATTCAATGAAGTATATCGATGAATTTCACACGGTATGAACATTTTTCTATGTTCTTCGATACCAATCGAGAAAACACACCCCTGCACATATAACTTAATGTTTTGCTACTCAAGATTTGAATTTATTTATACTCATCAGCAAACAAAGAGGGAACACGATCAGTTGGGAGAACAAAACGACGAGACTGTTGAGGCTGTTGATAATCCCCGTTGGATTTCAACTAAAGCCGGGCTGCTACTGCTGCTTGGAACTGCCATTGCAGCTGCCTTTGCAGACCCGTTGGTTGATGCAGTCGATAACTTCTCCAGCGCCACAAACATCCCGACTTTCTTCATATCCTTCATCGTGCTGCCATTGGCTACCAACTCCAGCGAGGCAGTGTCTGCTATCATATTTGCCAGCAGGAAGAAGATCAGATCTGCTTCCTTGACATTTTCCGAGGTAATATTTTGCAAATTATTTCAATTTCAATCATACAAAGATCTTTTACAATGAACATGAGTAGGCTTCAAGTTTCCATGATCTTGTGGTATCAAAATATAAGGGAAAAAAATGTTAGAACTTTTCGCCTTTTTCATGTGTCACACCCTTTAAATGGTATTCTCTTTTATTTTGGTCCTGTAAGTGTTACTGCATTGATCATTTTAGTCGTATATGATATGCTAGAAGAGAAATATAGTCTTATATTTCATTTGTTGCCGATCTAATAGTCTTGTTAGGCTTATAAAAGATTATTAGAGTGACAAAACAATTAGATATAAATATGTTTGATTACCTTTATATGATATGCTGACCCGCACTATGCTGATTTGATTAGATCAGCATCGGATCTGCAACCATACAAAGATTTATTTCCATGTCATTTACAAGATCAAAATTACACGTTTCAAAAAACACTTGTACTCAGATCTAACTAACATCTTCGTTATCTATCTGTGATTTCAGTTGTATGGCGCGGTGACCATGAACAACGTCCTCTGCCTATCGGTGTTCTTAGCTCTGGTATACATAAGGGGGCTGGTTTGGGACTTCACGTCCGAAGTGTTGGTCATTCTAATCGTGTGTGTCGTGATGGGCGTGTTCGCCAGTGTTCGCACAACTTTCCCTCTTTGGACTTCCCTATTTGCGTTTGCTCTCTACCCCTTGTCCCTCGCCCTCGTCTACGTCCTCGACTATGTCTTTGGTTGGTCTTAATCTTCCTTCTTAGGACAATCCACATTAACCTTATTCACTTTTTACACTGATTTTGAAGAAGATGCAATGCTAATGTGGTATGTGATGTGTATACATACATACATACATTTTTACCTTAGCCTTTTTTGTATGCAAGTTCAAGTTTTGAATGGTTTTATATAATGTGTGGATTAGTACAGTACCCCTTTTGGTCTTGGAACTTTATAGTGTGTGATAATCATAAGCGTTTTATGTGAGATTCAGTCCAAAATTGTGACTCTGTAATTTAGGTGATCTCCTACCTACAAATTTCATTTATATATATTTAACTTTAATAATGTAGTTGTTACCATAATTTTATTCTAACACATTTTATTTTTCACTTAAAAATATTTAAAATAAATAATAGGAAAATAAAAAGAGAGCAATGCAAAAATGTAAGCTATATCAATTTCTCGAGCGCTATTGACTGACGGTGCTCAATTGGAGATGGCTTTATAACATGGGATCTAAACTCATTAGATCCAAAATTGTTGAACTACATTCTTATTGTGCCAAAATTTTGGCATTGATATAATGTAGTGTTTTTATGATATAAGAATCTTGATTCTTAAGTATCTATACCATCAAACCAATTTTGGATGGAATAAACAAGATATGTAAAGTCAAATGATAACCATAGAATATGATTCTAATCGAAATGCATACAGTTGTTTTATGCACCATGGTCTACCTTTAAGTTCGGCTTGAATTATTGATTTATGTAATTGGAAATTTGATTATTGATATAATTTGAGTACATCCGAAACTGTGACCTTTACAGATATCATATCCCCTAAAGTTGTTCCCAATTCAAGATGTGGATGCAAATTGTATTTACATATATCACTAACGTCGATATGATGTAGCATAGTTTATTACCATATATGTATTCATACCTCCACCTATATATATATATATATATGGGTTTTGAATGAATGAAACTTACCCCACAATTTCACTCATCTCTCTCTCAAATTTTTTCTTACACAACATACATTTAATACATAACATATATATATACACATATAATAATTACACATAATCATTACACTTTCATCCGTTACATACACACAACATATATACATATATCATATTATATTATATTATATATATATTATATACAATATATAAAATAGTGGTTAGCGGTAGAGATAATTAATATTTTTATTGGCTATTCCTATAATAATATCACAACACGTTATCAGCACGATTATATATTTAATTTCCACAAGGTAATATTTTATCTTTATTTGTTTATTATGACTAACCTTGCCAAATAGGAATTTCTCCCTCTCCTCGTTTCAGGCCAAAATTATATGACATGGGCTCGTGACGTGAAAGGCATTTAGTATCAATGGGCTTGGAAAATACCATTTCCCGGGATAAAAATTCCCCGAGCCAAGATCGTGCAAAGGCCATGATCTTTTTGTACCATCACATCGATGACGGACTGAAAATGCAGTATGTCACGTTGGTATCCCCACTTGAATTGTGGGAGAGATTGAAAGAAATATACGATCACTTGAGACTGACATTGTTGCCAAGGGCACGAAGCGAATGGCAAAACCTACGGCTTCAGGACTTTAAAACAGTCAAAGAAGATAATTCTGCCATGTTTAAAATAATATTACAGTTGCGCCACTGTGGCGAAAATATATCTGAATCTGATATGATGGAGAAAACTTTCTCCATTTTTCATGCCTCTAACATGGTTTTGCAGCAGCAGTATCGCGAAAGAGGCTTCCAGAAATATTCGGAGCTGATCACCTTTTTTTTGCTGGCCGAACAAAATAACGAATTGCTGTTGAAAAATCACGAATCTCGGCCGACAGGTGCAAATCCATTTTCAGAGGCAAATGCAATACAGCCGGCAAATCTGGTGCGTGGTCGTGGGCAAGTCAGAAATCGTCGAATTGATCACGATCAAAATGATAATCGCAGACAGGGCCAGACAAACACATACAGTCACAATAATTATCAAAACAAACCCCGATATGTGCCAAATCGGCGTTATAATGACAGAAGGCCGTATAGACCTCAACAGAGGTTCAACACCGGGAGAAACAGAAACAATGACGAGGAATGCACCCGGTGTGGAATTAAAGGTCATTGGGCCCATATTTGTCGCACAGTCAGTCATTTGGCTGAACTGTATCGGGCCTCAAAAGAAATGCAGGGAAGAGTTGCTGCCGAAACAAATCATGCTGCCGCGATGACACTTTTGACGATGTTATGAATGAAAATATCACGCACCTAGATAGAGATGATCTACTTGACATAGCTGATGATGTTAAATGATGAAATGTTGTTGTATCTCTTTTGTTATTTTAATGTTTTCTGCCCATTTTTGTTTTTCCCCCCTAATATAAGTCTATTTTAATTATATTACTAATACATGTCTTTTATTATTTTTAAGTTTTTGCAAATATATGGATGCCAAATATTTGAGAGCCCATGAAAATATATGCCTTATCGACAGTGCTACAACTCACAGTATTCTGAAAAACAAATGTTATTTCTCCCACTTGAATATAGGAAATACCACTATTGTTACTATCAGTGGTGCATCGAAAATGATTGAAGGCTCAGGAAAGGCTACTGTATTTCTCCCTAAAGGGACAAAAATGGCAATTCAAAATGCTCTGTTCTTGAGCAAAGCTCGAAGGAATTTACTGAGTTTCAGTGATATTTGGAAAAATGGGTATCACATTGAAATATTGAATGAGGCAGAAAACGAGTATCTATTGATTACTCAGGTTGTGAATGGCAAAAGAATTGTGAGAGAAAAATTGCCATCATTTTCTTCCGGCTTGCATTATTCAAAAGTTAGTGCCGTTGAAATATATCACCTAGTAGACCAAATGGCTGCTAGCGAATTTAAAACTTGGCACGATCGACTTGGGTATCCTATCAATGTAACGCTGAGGCGAATTGTTGAAAATTCAATGGCCACTCATTGAAAAAGAAAAATATTTTGAGTCCGAATGAGTTTGCTTGTGCTGTCTGTACTGTCTGTTCCCAAGGGAATTCTAGAAAGAATTCAGGGTGATATTTGTGGACCAATAGATCCACCGTGTGGACCCTTCAAGTACTTTATGGTACTAATCAACGCGTCAACGCGATGGTCCCACGTATGCCTGTTATCTACTTGCAATCTAGCTTTTGCTAGACTACTCGCACAAATAATTAAATTGCGAGCACAATTTCCAGATCACCCGATAAAGAAAATACATCTAGATAGTGCTTGGGAGCATTCATCACATACATTTGATGATTACTGCATGTCAATTGGGATTACTGTGGAACATCTTGTTCCCCATGTTTATACGCAAAATGGCATCGCTGAATCCTTTATCAAAAGATTGCAATTAATTGCTAGACCATTGTTAATGAGGTTTAAACTTTCCGTATTATGTTGGGGACATGACATATTACATGCAACAACTCTCGCAAAAATAAGGCCGACAAGTTATCACTGTTATTCCCCACTCAATTGTATCTGGAAAAATACCAAATATATCTCACCTGCGAATATGTGGGTGTGCTGTTTATGTGCCAATTGCGCTACCCCAACACATGAAAATGAGACCTAAAAAAAGGTTGGGTATATATGTCGAGTATGAATCACCCTCGATTGCAAAATATCTTGAACCAACAACGGGGATTCATTGAATAAACGATAAGTATTCGACCCTATAGTCCAAACACTTACAAATGTAAAACCTGTTGGCTACAGATGTTTGTGAGAAAAAGAAATGAAAATAATGATATCACAAGATATAAAGCAATTTTTGTCGCCCAGGGTTTTTCCCAGATACCGGGCATTGATTTTGAAGAAACATATTCACCGGTCATGGATGAAATAGCATTCAGGTATCTGATGAGCCTAACAGTACACAATAATCTTGATATGTGATTAATGGATGTGGTTACTGCCTATTTTTACGGGTCCTTAGACAATGATGTCTATATGAAAATCGCAGAAGGAATTAACATACCTGAATCATTCAAATCAAAACCAAAAGAATTATATTCCATCAAATTACAAAAATCTTTGTATGGGCTCAAACAATCAGGCCGAATGTGGTATAATTGTTTCAGCAAAAGGTTAACAAAAGAAGGTTACATAAATGACCATATCTATCCATGTGTTTTCATAAATGGGTCAGAATTTGTAATCATCACTGTATATGTCGATGATCTCAATTTAATTTGAATTCCTGATGAAATCCAGAAAGCTGTTGAATATTTGAAAAAGGAGTTTGAGATTAAAGATTTTGGAAAAACCAAATTTTGTCTTGATTTGCAAATTGAGCACTTAGAAAGTGGAATCCTTATCCACCAATCAAATTATACCAAAAGGGTACTGAAACAATTTCTGATGGATAAGTCACATCCGCTAAGTACCCCAATGATCGTCAGAGCACTCAATCCAACAAAGGATCCATTTAGACCAAAAGAGGAAAATAAAAAAACATTTGGCCCAGAAGTGGCATATATGAGTGTTATAGGCGCATTGATGTATCTTGCTAATAGCACCCGACCTGACATATCAATTGCTGTAAATTTATTGGCAAGATTCAGCTTATCACCTACTCGATGACATTGGAATGAAATTAAGTACATTTTTCGCTATCTTCAAGGAACAATTGATCTCGGGCTATATTACTCGAAATATTCTCGACATGAACTGATTGATTTTTCCTATGTAAGATATTTATTGATCCTCATAAAACCAAGTTTCAAACTGGCTATATATTCACTTGTGGAGATCAATGAAACAAACTTTAACAGCTATTTCTTCAAATCATGCTGAAATATTGACAATACATGATGCTAGTCGAGAATGTGTTTGATTGAGGTCAATGACTCAACATATTCTGAAAATTTGTGGGTTAATACCTGATGATAAGATTCTCCCAACTACATTGTATAAAGATAATACGGCTTGTATAGCCCAACTAAAAGGGGGTTACATTAAAGGAGATAGAACGAAACACATTTTACCAAAAATTTTTTTTACTCATGATCTTCAGCAGAATGGTGAAGTTGATGTGTAGCAAATTCGATTCGATAATAATTTAGCGGATATATTAACCAAGGCATTACCGACTGCTACATTTGAAAAATTGGTAAAGAAAATTGGAATGCGTCGGTTCAGAAATCTCAAATTATGCTCAGATCAAGGAGAGCAAATAAATACAAGAATGTTGTACTCTTTTTCCTTCACTAGAATTT